TAAGAATTTACTACAGAAATAATAATAATGATAATAATACTAGAATTGCCAACCATTAAATAACCAATGAAAGAGAAACTGAATTTACGGTAATAATACAGTTGATAATACACATGATATTTGATTAACAACATGCTTTCCTAAAAATAATATAAATATGTTCATCATCATCATCATCATCATCATCATCATCATCATCATCATCTTCATCACCACCACCACCATCACCATCGCAATGGGCGACGTTTGACAGTGAAGATCGACTCCATGTAGTAACACATCACAGCACCGACTGTCCCTGGTGGTGGATTCAGCATCAACAAACAAAATGTCAAAATAGGATCAAATAAGCCTGGTTTCTTTCCAACTCGCACCATGGGAAAAACTCTCCGTCTAAATTATAAACAGGTGCAGAGCGCATATCTCCGTCCGCGAAATATCAAAAAGCTAATTAAAGCCTCAAATAATCTCATTTCTAAGAGAATTGCCCCAATATGAACATACGATATTAAGACCTTTTGAAAGTCGCCGGCCAAGCACCGTGGAGAAGGCAACTAAGACTAGCATATGAAGATAGCACTGTAAGACAAGACGCGCCTTAGCTGCTGATAGGCAAGATGAATGCGCGGAGATGCTTATCCACTTCTTGCATCTTTTCTCGCATATAGAACGCTGAAATCTAACTCGAGACGGTATCTGTAGAACTAGCGCTGTTGATAAAAGCGACATACCCATACATTGATGAAAGCGTTGTCTCGAACACTTCGTCATGTCGCGAGCTCCACGACTAATCTGAGAGACATCAAAACCATCACTTTATAGAATTTTTTTTTTCTCAGATAAATCTTATTCCCGGCAAACACGGGTAACCATGGCAACGACAACTATGTATCAGATCCCCTTCGCCACCATGCTGGTATGGTCGGAAACATCCGTTCTTGAAATCTTCAGGGATTTTCTATTAATTAATGTCGAGAATAAACCGCACCTATGTGGAGAGGGTATTCTTTGTTGAAATGGGCCCACCGTTATAGAATCAAAGACAACGGTATCTATAAACATGTGATGTCGATTACATTTTATGAAATAGCTTATTCGTAGAACCATGTGGTAGGTGAGTGTTGTCTATCGTTTAATGTATTACCTTCATTCAAGATTTACATGAAATCCCCGTGTTAAGCAGTCAGTGATGTGTTTGCACCTTTGGTATCTTTTGTGTCGATTCTCTTAAGAACAAGGTATGAGCTAAAATAGACAACGGGTTATGCAGTGAAATAGTCACACAAACCTTGACAAATCCTATCCTATGTGTTCATATGGATGACAACTAGACCTTCCCCATTTCCACACAATGCATTTAAATGTTTGGGACTTATAATTCTATTTTTTATATGTCAAAAAGGCTGATTGTGAAGTTTTCAGAAGCGTTGTCCTTATATGTGAGCAAGTCACCTATCTGCTTTCAACTGTTTTGAAAGTTAAAAAAACAAACTTTTCACTTATTTAAATCTGAACTATTCTTGTGTTCTTGATAATGTCCAAAACCTGCAAGAGCTGGAAAAAACAAATTCCGTTATTGTTTAAAACAGTAGTTTCAAATTCCCGCATTTCGAAAATTTGACATTTCCATTTTCAAACCAATATTTTAAAGTTTCCGCATTAAAAAAATGACATTTCCTGTGGTCCAAGTGCCCTTACCGCTGTGCCTGGTTTTGAATTGCGCTTGGTTCTTCTAATCACTGAATGATTTTTAACTTTAGAAACTTTTACAACATGTATCTGCCTGTCCATATTTCAAACGAAGTATTTAAATATTCCCAAGGCGCCCAAATGTGCATGTAAGAAGATGAAGATGTGGACTAAATGTATCCGTCAATATAGCTATTTTTTCTGTGCAATCCCGTCCACACGATTACACAGATACAGTTTTTTTACCTTTTGTTCTTTCGTATTCCGTCAGAAATTATTTTTTAGATTTGTCAGCATGACGTATTATTACCACGAAAGATACAGAGACAGCCAAAATGCAGGGGAAAAGAAATCATACGCTTAAACATTGGATTCGACCAAAACATTAATCAAAACTAGGCTGAGAGCTTAAGCAGCCGCTGAAACACTGCACAATTAAGGTCCAAAACACAACTATGATACCCGTATCAAATACATCACCATCGAATAACCATTTCTGATTTGTTTCATTTTTAGCTACCATCAAACATTGGTGTATACTCTCTTTTCCCCGGCAGTTTAAATGACTGGATTAATTCATATATACCGAGGATAAGAACGTTAAAGGAACTATCTAGATAATTAAGTCAATTTGTGTAGATTATATATATTGCTTGTTGATTTCCACCGACTTACCGGCGTATTAACGTAATCGCAAAAATGAAAACAAAACGCGAACGAGAACATACATATCTTGAATACCGATGCTCTGGGTTAGCGGTAAAATGGTCGTTTGAAAAGATGTTATCGAAATGAAAACCACGAATTAATTATGTATCATAGATAACCTGACTGAAAATAAACACTCACTGTAATCCTTATTTCCAATACAAGCTCTATTCTCGGATAGAGAGCTGTGGTCAGTTTGAGATAAGCATGCACTGGATCGCACCGATAACGGTGATAACAGCGATATGCGGAGATAAGGACATTTTTGCTGCTGAAGCTGACTATACATCGCAAATCAACGTTGGTCTAAATACAGTTCTTAATTCGATTACTCTTGTTTCCAATTACCGTATTCCCTGCATGTTTATTATTATCAGTTGTTTATTTCTCTTTTCTGACACGTGTGTGTTTATTAATCTTTGTTTATTTGGGATAGACATTCGGCGGACAAGCATTCAGATGTTTCCGTGTAAATGCATACTCTTAGTGTCATTGTTGTGTTAACACACCCACTATGTGTCCGTTGAGTGTGTAAATAACTTAGATAATCTAAATCCAGTGGTACATTAATGCGTTTTTCATTTGGTTGTTTTTTATCTTCAATGTATATATACCTTGAATATAAATTATTCGTTTATCTATTATACATTATACACCGTCTTTCAAATTTCTGGTTAGGGCTCACTGGTCGTTATATTGTAGATATGTTATTGCTGTTAAGAGACATGTTATTTCGCTATTTGTACAGTGTCTTAAAGATGCGTATAACTAGACTCGATTTTAGAAAGTGGCGAAATACAGTCAGTAGATCGCACGGTGCTTAACCTCAATTGTTCTATTTCATTATCTACGACTACAATTTACATACATATGCAATAAGTCCCCATTTCATAAAATAATAATTACAATATAAATATAAAAATATATATATTTATATGAAATTGAACACGAGTCAGGTTTCTCATTTCAGTCTATAAAATACTGTAGTTTAAGTAACAAAACTGTTTCTTTGATGGAATTCACAATATATTCGCATTTTAACTTTTCACCTTACCAGAAAAGCTCATTAAGACCGTGGGTATAATCGCTTCAGATGATAACACTGCGGGTACTCTACATAACATATGTTTCTTAATCTTCCTCCTCTTTAAAAGAGCTCCAATCGCCGGGGAGCGGTCATTGATGCGGCTTTAAACTTCATTTATTCTCAACCATAAAGAGTTCTCCCTTGAAACGTTTCAGCTGCATTAGACCTAGATATTAACCAGGTTTATATTTGTGCGCGGTATTATCCAGTTCTGGGATGTGTCAGAAGAAACAATTTGAGACAATATTGTTGTGCAAACTGAAACTCGCGACCCTGGACCCTCCTACAACGGATACGTTCACGATGGAGGAGTTGGAAGGAGGGAGGGTGCGTGTTTATATTGCCGGGGGGCAACAGATCCGCCATCATATTCTCCACCCTGGGGTTTTACGGGGGTTTGGGGGACGCGACTTGATGACGACATGCTGGGTGTATCGGAGTCTGCCACAGAATCGGTATGGCGCCCTGGATGTGTTCATCAAAACTCGGAGACCTTGGGAGGCTCACAACTGGTTTACCGACCACACAGATTCTGTATTGGTCATTTTATGGGTTTAACGGGCTGTAGCGAATGTTTGTCGAATAGGAAAACACACCACAATTCCGGATGTAACGAACTCACATCGATGGTATTGATATTGGTTTGGTATATATCCGAAGAGACCATTTTGACCAGTATTGCAAGTTCTTATTGTGACTATACATGTGTTCGATATAACCGATAGTTCGATATAACGAATTCAAATGAAACTGTCAAATGAATTTGTTGTAAATATGACAATCCATATTTGGAACAACCACCATAAAACAATTTCCAGTGAACGAGATATTTGATCATTTTCAGCCGACCGCCTCCGTGGTGTAGTGAAAAGAGAATCTGCCTGGAGAGTAGAAGGTCGATGGTTCGATCCCCTGACAGCTTCAAAGCAAAAAACGTAAATGATACTATGCCACAGTTAAACACGGACAACCCACTCAATATATGACTCCGAGCCGACCAGTCCTTGTTTTATCATCCCCTTAATTCCTAGCGCCAGACAGGGCAACAACAAGTCCCATCTTTTAACGTCTTGTGGTATGATGCGGTCATATCGAACTACCGACCTTCCGCTCTCCGGGCAGACGCTCTATCCACTATGTTGAATCTATGAGTTGGTGTAAGATTAGGGTCTAAGAATGCCAAATGAAGACTAAGTTGTAGGAAGGTACAGATACCAATCAAGGTATCGCAATACTACCACAGTAGTTGTACAAATTACAACAATATCGCAATGGCTTTTCAGCAATTGCAGTACAATTTCAACAGTAAAAAGAACGCCAATAGTCACCTTTATATAGGACCATTTGTTTTTTGCATTATGGTAGAGCATTATTTTAAATCAGTCATAGGTCATACAATGTCGTATTTGCAAATATGTTGAAGAATCCAGCATGTCGCATGAGTTCGTTTAAGGTATCGTAATGCTTGTATGTGTCGTATTGAATATAGTATCTTTTTTCTGTTTCTGTATTTCAGTACGAGCTGTGAGTCAAGTCAAAACCTTGCTGGTGTACCTGATTTGAATTTTGCGTTTCTCCCGAGTGGTGTTTGCCAAGGCTGTATGTTACTTTCGTCTCTATTTGTACAATTTACAAATATTTATTTGCTATATAAAGCTTTTACAGATGAACATGGTTTAACCTTTGAAACTAATTACAATATTATTTGTTTGCATGGTGTAACCTTATCATAACATTTTATTGTCAATAAATCTTGTCATCATATTTTCAAACTTCTATCATGAATGATTAGCCCCACGGGTGCACGAAGCTCGACAATGTGTTTTCCTTCCTTGGAAATATTTAAGACGATGCATTCAGTACACAGTGCCATTGTTGGTCAATGTGGCAGCCACGGGGAGATGGTTTTATTGAACATACATTACGGTCTCATTTCTTTATTTCTCGAAAATCGGTGGTCAAATAAACTGCAGGGCAAAGGAAAGAGTACACCATGGTCGATGGTGATCTATTTGATACGGGCATCTTAGTTGTTTGCAAGTTTGAAGTGTTTCGGCGACTGTTTTCAGACAATTAACGTTTTAATAATAATTGTAATGTTTCGGTCAAATCCTATTTTCAAGTGTACGTTTTCTTTTGCCCGGCAGTTTACATTTTTTAAATACATTTGCTTTTTACTTGTTCTCTTTTAAAGTATTGTTTATCGAGTGAATTAAGTAAGATTTGGTTTACAAGTCAAATGTAATGGTTACTATGCCTTCTCTATTGGCCTACATTACAACAACTGTCCATGTACGGGAGGAACATCATTACAAATGTCCATGTACGTGTGGAACATTATTACAAATGTCTATGTACGGGTTGAATATTATTACAAATGTCCACGTACGGGTGGAACATTATTACAAATGTCCATGTAAGGGTGGAACATTATTACAAATGTCCATGTACGGGTGGAACATTATTACAAATGTCCATGTAAGGGTGGAACATTATTACAAATGTCCATGTACGGGTGGAACATTATTACAAATGTCCATGTACGTGTGGAACATTATTACAAATGTCCATGTACGTGTGGAACATTATTACAAATGTCCATGTACGTGTGGAACATTATTACAAATGTCCATGTACGGGGGGAACATTATTACAAATGTCCATGTACGGGGGGAACATTATTACAAATGTCCATGTAAGGGTGGAACATTATTACAAATGTCCATGTACGTGTGGAACATTATTACAAATGTCCATGTACGTGTGGAACATTATTACAAATGTCCATGTACGGGTGGAACATTATTACAAATGTCCATGTACGGGGGGAACATTATTACAAATGTCCATGTAAGGGTGGAACATTATTACAAATGTCCATGTACGGGGGGAACATTATTACAAATGTCCATGTAAGGGTGGAACATTATTACAAATGTCCATGTAAGGGTGGAACATTATTACAAATGTCCATGTAAGGGTGGAACATTATTACAAATGTCCATGTAAGGGTGGAACATTATTACAAATGTCCATGTACGTGTGGAACATTATTACAAATGTCCATGTACGTGTGGAACATTATTACAAAAGTCCATGTACGTGTGGAACATTATTACAAATGTCCATGTACGTGTGGAACATGATTACAAATGTCCATGTACGTGTGGAACATTATTACAAATGTCCATGTACGTGTCGAATATTATTACAAATGTCCATGTATGTGTAGAACCTTACGCCAAATATATATTGTGGACCTTTACTACATATGTGTATGTGTGGAACCTGTCGCTTTTAATAAGAAAAAAACTAGACACTATCAGCACAGTCATGTGTTCCAGCAAACATCCATCCAAAATGACCACTACGAATTTTCATACAACTTACACAGTGATTACAAATATATACATACTGCAAAACAAACACAAATCATTAATATACATGAACAAGAAGTTGACAAGGCATACCCAGGTAAATATGATATTGGAGTTAGCCTTTCAGCCTTACACTTGTCGTTAATACAAGCATTGTTCAAACTGATACCTACGTAGTTTAAAGATGGGGATGAGAGTTTAACAGCATGTGTACTCCTCAATCAGACACGGGATGTCAGAGCGGCCCTATCAGCCTGCATTGCACCCCCTTGTAATGAAAACCACGGAACCCCCAGAACGTTCAGTTACATTCCAAATAGTCGTGCTAATTTACAGACAGATTAACACACTCCTAATACATCCATGTTGTCTATCAACTAGGGGGTGTCGTATCGTGTCTGACAAGTGGTACAGCTTGGGTGCTCATCAAGGCTGTGATCACCAGCCGCCCCCTTGCTTGAAGAATTCGCTAAATTTCACTCAAACCTGCTGGGTTATACACTGTAACAAAACATACCCCCCTCCCTGTTTAAATTTAAGCGAGACCAATAATTCATTTGAGTGTAATTTGAAGTTGGATGTTTTTAGATGTGATGGTTCCTGTCAGTGTGCGTATCTCCGACATGTTATAAATGACTCCACACAGCAAGAAACTAGATGGCTTTAACATGAAAGAGAAAGGGTGGGGTAAGGTGGATATTACGGCAAGGAAACCCGTTAATTGTGTGCAGTTTATTATCGATAATTATACTGAGTCTGTCAAACCTTGACCCATCTTTCAAACCAACCAAACAAATAAGTCATGGCTTTTTCTAATTAATATTTTTAAACGAAGGAACATACGCATTGACTACTTTATATTTTCTGAATTGCAAGAACATTAATATTATGCAGAGGCTTTTGATGTAAACTGCAGTTGTGTTTTGGACCTTAAGTTTGCAGTTTTTCGGCGACTGTTTTCAGCCTTGAAAACTTTCTTTTGCAAGGCTATGTATAATAGGGAGAGGCACAGATAATCTCTTCCTTTCTTGAAACTGAAGATATTGACAGTAATGTAGACGTGTTTTGGAATTTTTTCGAATTTTAATGTTTTCTTATGAGACACTAAGATACGAATGAAATGATCGTCTTGAGAGAAAAATATATTGAGTTTCGAGACGTTATATGATTAAGAATGGACTGTATACAGAGATATCTTCGGGCTCTAAACAAGGAGGTTGGAGCACATTTAAAACAACATATTCTGGTTGTGTCTGTATGAATATAGCTGCATCATCAGCACATTCCATCCTCATCTTCCACACAGCAGCTGTGTACACCCAGCACCACCATCCCGACACTACATAGGAAGTATAATCACTTATATCTAATATGCGTATAAATATACTGTCTTCCTCAAGGCGCATGGTGAACTTATGAAACATATCCACATTACCATATGCAGTTTACGCAAGATCTCCTGTCTCAATATAATACTCCTTCATTTTCGTCATCGGAGTGGCTTCCCAAACATGATATCGATCATGTTAGTGTTTTGAGCACATTATCCTTTTTAAATGATCGCACATGTTTTCGCAGAACATACTTTGCTATTATCAGAACATTGCTATTGGTTAAAGAAACCTAGCTCTGAAGCCAAGATGTGTCTATTGCTACTATGTCAAAACAACACACAAGAGCCCATTGCATTTAAAGTGGAATCAAATCCCCGGAATTTAGGTGGATTTTTCTATTCGCCATCCGCCCCGTTGTATTTCGGAGAAATATATTCCCAGCGCTCTATTTGTCGTCGCCTAAATGAATCCAGTCGTAAAGCTAGGTGACGTGGCTGAATGCGTGGTATCGCATCCCCATGCCATGGAACATTGGTCATAATATCAACCTCTTGTTTGATGGGCCTAGATTCGAATATTAACATGTTCTTTCGCGAACACCTGGTGTCATCACTGTTTGATAGCGATTCATAAACATATGCATTGTCGGAACCGAAGAAGTAGTAGCAGTAGTAGTAGCAGTTGTAGTAGTAGTATAAGTAGTAGTAGCAGTAGTAATAGAAGGAGTAGTAGTAGCAGTAGTAGTAATAATAGTAGTGGCAGCAGTAGTAGACGTAGTAGTAGCAGTAGTAGAAGCAGCAGCAGCAGTAGTAGTAGTAGTAGCAGCAGCAGTAGTAGTAGTAGTAGTAGAAATAATAGAAGTGACAGTAGTAGTAGAAGTAGTAGTGGCAGTAGCAGAAGCAGCAGCAGCAGCAGTAGTAGTATAAGCAGCATAAGTAGTAGTAGAAGTAGTAGTATCAGAGGTTGTAGTAGTATTAATAGTAGTAGTAGTAGTAGTAGTAGTAGTAGTAGCAGTAGCAGTAGAAGTAGTAGCAGTAGTAGCAGCAGGAGCAGCAGTAGTAGTAGTAGTAGTATAAGTAGTAGTAGTGGTGGCAGTAGAAGAAGAAGTAGTAGTAGTAGTAGTAGTAGTAGTAGTAGTAGTAGTAGCAGCAGCAGTAGTAGTTTTTGTTTTGTTTGTTGTTTAACGTTGTACCAGCAATATTCCAGCGGTCTGTAAATAATCGAGTCTGGACCAGACAATCCAGTGATCATGAACATCGATCCACGCAACGACGCTTTTAGCAATATTCCAGCATCATCACGGCGGGGGACACCAGAAATGGGCTTCACACACAAACCTGGATGAAGATGAGTGTGGACGAGGCCGAGATAGGTAGGCATGGCAAGTTGAGGTGTACGTAAATAACTCGTACTGCCTCACTCACTCACTAGTAACGAAACGACAAACAAGGAATATTTACATCAGCTGTTATAGTGAGTCAATGAGTCAATGAGTGAGTATGGTTTTACGCCACTTTTAGCAATATTCCAGCAATATCACGGCGGAGAGTGGGGGGCACCACGTTGTACACGTTCATTTCGCTTTCTTATGCCGAATAACGTACATACGAACCTTATTCGTCTGACAATAACGATTTCGAAATCAATTCCAAGTCTTTTATGGCGGTGTAATTTATTGTCAAACAATGACTGTGAGGGTATTACCCCGTTTCTGTTGAGATTCAGTAGAAGTTCAATAGTTGTCAGGAATGTAGTACTATTTAATGCAAGCAGTGGAGAGGGAGTTATTATATTTGGATGCTTGCATTGTCTGTAAACTTCCGGAATAGCTTTGATGGATGTCAAGTCCTACAGAACATGTCGAATATTCTGTGATGTTTTAGTGACACTAGACTGGTCTAGCACTGTGTGGAAAGTGCTCAAAGTAAGTTGGACTATATAAGTGGAGCGGGCGCGTGCCTGCCTCATCTCACAGTTCATCTCACATTACATCAAGACCAGCTTTTGTGTGAAGATCACATTTCACCCTCGACTCCTGGCCAAGGCCTATGTC